GGTTTAATAAGCCTGTTCAGACATGAAATCACAAGCTGTCAGAGGCAGCAATGGCCCTGTGCTCCTGCCCAACTACTCCCATACATACTGACACCTCAGGCATCAATCACCTTAGAGCGTTTTTGTGTGTGGCAACCCCAAACAGCTGTTTAACTTTATGAACAATGATCAAAGTAGGGACCCCAATGTATCAGTATGAACAGTGTGATTACATAAGGATACTGGAGGAGCTCAGAAGCCATTACATCAAGGCTATAAAAAACTGTTCTGGAGGAGAGGCTGGGATAAGTGCCACTTTTTCCCCTCTCTCCTTCTCTCAGAGAAGAAGAGGCGAAAAGTATAGTATATATAGTGTATATATAGTGTGTGTATATATAGTGTGTGTATATAAATATATATAGTGTTTATATATATATAGTGTATATACACCACTCCCCCCCCATATATATATATATATATATATATATATATATACACACATATATATATATATATAGTATATCTATACTATATATGGTTCTACCCATGAGGCAGTTTTTGGAGTACTGGGACATCCACAGTGTTAAGACCCAAGTACCAGGTAAGGCTGATGGCCAGTGGCTTTGTCATACCTCTTTAAGCAAAGGAAAACAAACTGATAAAAAGCAAACAAAACAGCAAAATCTGAAAATAGTCATTAATGATTCTTGGAGGCTGTTGTACAGCCAGAAAGGAGTCAATCATCTAAATATTCAAGGACACATACAAGTCAGCACCCAAAGCAAATACGCGGCCTCATGACCTGCAACTATCATTCAACATCTTAACTAAACAGGTAATAATAGCTACAAGTTTAATCTAGCACTAGAGACTAGTGATCTAGATCTAGATCTAGATTAAACTACAAGTTTAATCTAGATCTAGATCTAATCTATAGTCAAATCTTTTATTATCTTGAAAGCCTTGAGCCATAGGTTGGGTTCCAAATTAGACTATTATGGGTAGGTAGCCAGCGAAGCACACAGGGCTGTCTTTTCACTTCCCCCTATTCCCATCTCCTAGGAGATCAGAGGAAAAGCAAAGGGGAAGTGAAAGCAAGAAAATTTGTGGGTCAAGATAGAAACTAATCAGTAAGTGATGATGAAGTGGAAGAGAGAAAGAAAATAAAACAGATGATGCAAAAGCTATCACCCACCACCTTCCAAGGCTGACTAATGCTAAACCCATTCTGGGCAAAATATAGCTTATCTCCCTAAACCTACTCCCTTTTTATTGCTGACCATCACATTATGTGGTATGAAATATCTCTTTGATTAGTTCTGTCATCTGCTTTGTTGCATGTTTGTGTCTCCAACTATTCATGCACCCTCTAATCTATTTACAGGGTGTCACAGGCAGAGAAACAGAAGGCCTGTCACTGTACAAAACACTGTTCTGCAAGAGCAAAAACATTACTATGTTATTGCCATTGTATCGGTCACAAATCTAAAAGACAGCATCCTCAGAGATACTATACAGAAAACTAACTCCATCTCAGCCAGACTTAGCATACTATAATAGCTAAAACCAAAAATCTCAGACAAAACAGCTCAGCCTCAAGAGTCATCTTGAAACTGACTAGAGAAAATATAACGTTACTTCACTTATATCTGTGGTCACTGATTGTGTATTCAAACATCCATTAAAATAAATCTATGTCCCAGAGATTAGCCAAATGAAATGATATAAAATTGTAAATTAAATTTAGTCGCCAAATTAAGTACAAGTGACAATTTTATCCATCTTTCAAAACGGAGTTCAAATTTTGGCAGATTGCTTTTTCACGTAGTCATTTAAATAAACAGCTTGTAATTAAATACCTGGCATTTCTTTAGTTCCCTCTTCAGCTGAAGAATTGTGACGTGATGTGGTACTGGGCTGGTCTCAGTCCCTGTCTCAGTTTCCTGGACGGTGAGAGCTTCCTTCCTTACTTTCTGTACCATAGTGATCCAGCTCTGCAGCCTGTCCCGCTGACTTCTTCTTAAGCTAACATTATCATTCAAGTCAACCAGAAAGGGGAAGGCTTCATCTACACAATTTCTGTAACTGAAATATTGAACCTGAAGGCGGGTGAGTTGCTCCTCAAGTGAACTGATACGGGCTTTTTCTTCGTTTAAGTCATGTACATGCTGGTTACTGACCTGCTGGCTCTGTAAAGCTTCCCGAAGCAATCTGATTTCAATTTCCATTTCATCAATTCGGTCTTTTTCTGGGTTGTAATTTACCACTGGTTTATTTCTAATGTTTTTTGCTCTGTTTGCATATTTGAGGGAATTTAAAGATTCATCAAAGTCCAGTGAAGATGGACTTATACACGTTATCATAACAGTCTTGGCATTTCCTCCAAGGGAGTCTTTCAGAATACGAGTGATTTTAGCATCCCTGTATGGAATATGTACGTTTTTCCTCTTTGGGTCTCCAAGGGCACTGATGACATTTCCCAAGGCCAGGAGACCACTGTTGATCTGAATTGATTCTTTGAAGCGTTCACCAGTATTTCCAGTCTTTGCTACCCTCTCTGATCCTGCCAAATCCACAAAATGAAACTTTGAAGCAATTGGATCCTGTGCAGCATCAGTATTTTTCTGATACTCTGCAGACTGCTTCTGACAAATACTGATGGTAAAAATGGCATGAGATCGACTAGAGTGCTCATTCTTCTGTGTTGTGCCTGTGTGACGAGCTGCATTGCCACTTCCCAGCAGGCTTATCACTTCATCTGCACATTCTACTTGGAATTCCTTAGCACCGATAATCACTTCAAACACCAAACCAAGCGAAAGAAATAATAATTTAATTAATTCTAAGCTCCTCAGCAAAAGTTTACAGCAACAACTATAAATATGTATTAGAGAAACACACAAGCCTGTGTTATTATGAGGTCATAGCATATAGCTATGGAAATAGCAGATACAATATGTGAAAAGCATGAGGTACAATACATCTGAAACCTGCAGATATTTAATGTAGGGGTGTATTGTGCCATAACAAATATCTTAGACACAAGACATAATTCATTTACACATTGCACACTGCACATTACTTTTACAATTTACAGTGTAGTGCTAGCTAGCAAAAGTGTAAGCAAAGTCAGCTCAAAGGATATTTTGGCAAAATTAAAAAAAAATACTAAAAACTATAAAGTTTTTAGTTAAAATTATTCCCAGCCCATATTAAGAAAATAATTTCTATTCTGAATAGTGCAGGTAGTTGGCCCTTTGGGGGCCAGTAGCTGTTAGCACACTAATAAAGTATAAGTGTACTTCTGCCAAGTACTCTTATTAATCATATATTTTATCATATTTTGCTTTTCATGAAAGATGGAAAATGCCCTAGCACAATTACAAATTCTAGAAGCTGACACTAACTATACTGAAGAAAATAAATAATTTAAAATATATTGCGGTATGTTTTTGAAGCAATGACACTGTCTGCAAAATTTGTGCTAAACTAGTGTTTTCTCCCAGCTACAGACAAAAAACCCAGGACAGCTTAATATAAGAGTATATTAATACTAGAGTAAACACAACAATTAGAATATAAAGAAAAAAACAAATCCAAACCTAAGACAGATTAGATACTTTCAGAATAAAATATCTCTGATGTGGATTCTTCTAGCATTTTAATGAGGGGAACAGGATACCTATAGGGCAATTGTTAATCTCGAAGCCTCTAAAAATATCTACTCCCCCTCCTCTTAATGAAGTGGTCTCTTCCATTCTTTTTATTGTAAAAGGAGAGCAGACATTTACAGTATAATTGACTTAACAATTGTTATTTTGAAGGAAGAAGCAATAGTTTAATCTTAAAATATTTATTCAAGTGAATAATCACACACTATTTTGTTTCTAGACAGAACTTTCAGAAACAATAATTGTGTATTTACCATTTGTTGCCATTTCCATCCATATAATAGAACATCTGTATTGCTCACAGGCATCTAAACCCTAAACTGCTTCCAAACAGCTAAACTGAGCTTATATTCTGAAACTTTAACTTTTTTTTTTCCCTTTTATTCACTAGTAATGAATAAGCACTTTCAAGAGAAAGCAAGAACAATTTGGACACAAACTGAAACCCAAACCAACAAATTTAAGAGCTAGAATCCTACCTGTATTTCCCTTCTCATCTTCTCGGATATGTAGCTCCTTTACAGAGGTCTCCAAATCCAACAAATCTCGAAGTTCTTCCTTGTAAATCTCTATATAGGATACCCTCACACAGAAGTTAATATTACGATGTTCAGAAATATGATGAAATAATTCCTGAATAGCCCGTGGGATTATGCCCCTTTCATCCATTGTAACTGATGCTAAAATAGAAGCATAAATGTCACAGAGACTTGCAGTCTTTCTGTCACATAAATTACAAAGACTGAAATTTGAGAGCAGCCTGTGATATTTAGTATGCAACACACTAAGGAATCTGAAGAGATCATTGTTCACAGGGATTTTTGTAATTTTTTTGTGTGTGTGTCAGAATTTTTGTTTGCATCCAGTGCTAGGATTCAAATTTAAGTTCTAAAGTACGTAATTTTATTGTCATGAAAGTTGTGAAAAATATGGGTGCTGTTTTAAAACTATACTCAGAGTACAGATTTCTTCTTTATCCGTTCTTAATATGGTTAGCAATGACATTTCAAGGGTTTGAGAAATTATAAATTCTACTATATATAAAGAATATAAAGAACATAAAGAATATAAAGAATATAAAGAAAAATCATCAGTAACTTAGTGAGACAATATTTATGACCAACATTAACAGTAATTTCCTATTTTTTTTATAAATGTGGAACGCTGGTGCTAAACTCTACCTTTTTTTAAATATTCAGCTTAGGACAATGTTTCTATTATTAATCTGTGTTCTTCATCCAAGACTATGGAAGCTGTTTGCCTATGAGACAATACTAAGAGTCTTTTTTGCCCAAAAACTAATGGGTTCTTCACATCTAACTATTATTTTATTATTAATTAATTTTAGTAAGTGTATTCATTAAACCAAAAGTTTTACAATTACAATTGCAGAGCTATGGTCAGCCTTAGACTATGACATCCACTACCAAAACAATTTAGCTAGCAGTGGTACTTACAGGAACATGAAATAACTACTAGTGAAGGGAACAGAACTGAAGCTACAACAATAACTAGAAGAGGCCAATGACATGAGGTTCAACTACGTGTGTGTCCAGAGAAAAGCAACAGAACTGAGGTAGGGTCTGGAGCAGCTGAGGGAGCTGGGGCTGTTCAGGCCGGAGAAAAGCAGACTCAGGATAGACCATATTGTTCTCTACTACCATCTGACAGGTATAACCTGAAGGTGTAACCAGGGGGTGTCAGTCTCCCAGGTAAAAAGTGACAGGACAAGAAGAAATTACTTCAGGTTGCACCTGGGGAGGTATAGATTGGATATTAGTAGTCTTTCCACTGGTGGTCAACCAATGGAACTGGCTTAGTTGTGGAAATGCAGTGGTTAATGGTTGGACTTTATGATCTTACGGATCTTTTCCAACCTAAACGATTCTGTGATCCTATGATTCTAAATAAAAGGAAGATTCTACCGAGATATTTATAATACTCTATTTGTATCCATTTGGAAGGATTAAATCATAAATTTCTTTGATGCCAAGGAAACTTCTCTCAAAAGCCCCAAAAAAGCAAACAAATCCAACACAGAATGAGCAACCAAACAATTAAATGCCTAACGAAGACATTTTCAAGGTAAGATAAATGTAACAAAGATATTCAAAACCACTACATTCCAGAAAAAGAGTTCTACTGTAAGTTTCATGTTAAAATGTGGAATGGGAAAGAACACTTAACAAATTGTATTTTTCTTAGATATTTTTGATGTAGTCTAATTTATGGTGAAGGTTGTAGAATTTTAATTACCACAAATTTTGGAAGTTTTGGGTTTTTTTACTGCAGGTCTGTTTTGTTTTTTTTAATTCTGCAGCATCATCTGCTATGTAATAAATATTTAGCTTGCACAAATGCACCCTTTAACAATTAACAAGAATTCCCAAAACCAAAAACATTTCTATAACCTACCAATGTGGTCACCACCAATGGTGTAAGTCTTCCCAGAACCAGTCTGTCCATATGCAAACACTGTAGCATTGTATCCTTCAGTCAGAGACACTAGAAGAGGCTTAATGCAAACAGCATAAACTTCTTCTTGGGTTGAATTTTTGCCAAATACAAAATCAAAAGTGAAGACATGGTCCTTTCCAATGATAATTTGTTTAGCGTTTGGAACTAATCTGACACAGACTTGGTGGTTATGAAGTATTTCTTTGGAAAGCAGAGGTCTGACTCGGACTGCAACTTTAACTGGGATCTCCTCCATGCCAGACTCCATCCTTGTGCTTCCTGTTCAGCATTTACACAGTCAAGAAGAAATCTGTTACCACTGCTCTGTTCACCTCATTCACATCTGTCTGCAACTAAGAAAAAAGGTTTTCCATGTTATATGAATGAATGAATCTCCTGAAGTGGAAAGTTGAGATTTTGTAAGGAACAGGTAAGCACCATTACAATCTTGAAAAGCACTTGATATAAATGCAGCTCTATTAATAACTATATAATCAATTAATAAATTAATTTTGCATGCATTAATTTCCAAGCTAGCAAACTAAAGTCAGAAAGTTGCCTGATTTCCTGTATGAATATAACACAGTCATACAAAGCAATGATATTGTAAGAGCTTATTAATAAATACTGTAACATTGTAAGCAAAGGCTTACAATGGATCCTCACATTTTCCTGTTCCTGATCTGATATTGCACAGGCAACACAAATCAGTCAAATGAAACCTTTTTTCACATGTTTCATTACATGTTTCAATACTCTCTTCCACTTATCAAGCACCAAACACTTCTAACTCAAAAACCACAAAGAAGTATGGTTTTAAATGTATCTATTTACTACATGTAAAGCGTTCCTCTGATTTCAATCTGAAACTTTAAGCACATATGTAATTATTTTTTAGTAATTATAGTTTTAGCAGACATAGTTCCTTATACTGCTTGGTACATACCCATTCTTCCAGTATAAGCATTACACACTAACAGATTTGTAAATATTCAGGAATTCCGTTTCTTTATAGCTATTTTTCACTAGAATTCAAAAACTTGCATGGGATCACACACAAATCTTTTCTGTTGTTGCCAATTCTAAGAATCTTCATCATGCAAGGTAAAGTTTGCTGAATTTCCTGCTCTCACACGCATTGTCTTCAAGAAAGCTGTATTACTGAACTGGCAGAAATCAGCTAAGCTCCCAAAATTCAAGTTTGTTGAAAACTAATTGCTTAAAACAGTGTTGTCTCACAGCTGCAAAGAGAAGAACTTCTGCATTTCATTTTATTCCTTTTAGCTTGAGGACTTGGCTATCCACAGCCGAAGTTTGAAAAAAGAAAAGCCCCAATTTATTGACTGAGCATAAGAAGAAGTAAGCTAAGCACGAGAATAAGCCAAGACTGGTATCATAAGGGACACGGCAATCAGCAACAGATGCATAAACATACTGTTAAAAACACATTGTGATTAAAAGCACATTTTGATTGATAACTGAGTTCAGTTACTTGGGTGCATTATTTTTTTACCCCCTAGCAAGTGCTTCTTTCAAATGCCAACATTTCCTACTGTCTTTTCAAAGTTATATTAATAAACAAACAAACTAACAAACCATGTTCCGGCTGTGGGAGGGAAGCCCTGTTTCCTAAGAATCTGTTTTGTAAAAGAACTTGGGAATATAAAATACTCCCAATACGTCAAGGCTAGAGAGACACTTTGGTGTCGACGCCCGCGGCTGCCGTAAGGCAGGGGCAAACATACTGCCAACCTTTTCGCTTGCAGGGATGTTGTGAGGGCAGACCAGCAAATCTTCCGTGTTTGCAACGTCTCCGAACCTGAGCAGCAGCCGGGATGGTATCACGCGTGAGTGTCGGGAGCCGCTAGAGCCGCGGAGGCCGGCGCTTCGTGCCCCGCTGTGCCGCAGGGTGCCGCGGGCCCGGCCCGGAGCGAGGCCCGGCGGCGGCGGCGGGCGGCCCGCGCTGTTTGGGCCCTCGCTAG